GAGTCAGAAGGTTAGGAGAAGAGTGCTTCGGACATAGCAGAAAAAAAATGACAAGCAAGTGGGAGGTCTGAATTGACGTCGTTTTTTCTTCTACAATCAGGCACCACTCCCTTCAGCAAACGAATGCACATTGCTGTGGCCTGGGCATGAAGACTGGTTTGATAAACAGGCAAAGTCTAGGAAACTCTGAAGGGAAAAAGCAAAATTTTGGCCAGTGGACTCCAAGTTCCCTTCTTGGTAAACCTCTGACAGAGCATAGCAAATGGATGCTTGCTTAACATGAAGATACCTCTGGTTAAGTTTCTCATACACAGACTAAGGTCTCATGGCTGCCTTGTTGTGTGTGATAACAGAAACTGGTCTACTTGGATAATTTGGCTCCCCTCTCTAACCTGGCAGAGAGCTGCACTTTTGTGTGATGAGAAAGTTTAACACGTTCGACTCCGATTTGATTTTCAATCTGGTTCCTTGGAGCCTGGTGCAGGATCCCAGTCCCAAGCTAGGCCCTCCTGCAGGTTCCCTGTGACAGTTCATGGCCCAGTCCATTGGGCCCAGCACTTCCCAGATGCAGACAGGGGAGGAAAAGGACTGAGTCATGCTGCATGGTGGGCCAAAGGCAGGCTGAATCCAGGCAAGAGTGGAGAGAAATTGGTTAAAACATGTGAGGACTTCCTATATTCGCTGATTAGGCAACTGTGGACTTCATTCAGAGAGCAGCCAATAAAGTTGACCATTTTCTTGTTATATTGTTAGATCCCAAGGCCTGAACTCCAGACATGAATGCTAAGGATGCAGTCTTCCACTGAGCTACACCAGCCCCAGTAGCTGAATTCTTTACAAAGAGAAGGGGAAATGTGACCTTATCTGAGCCCTTCAGGATGAGACAACTCGCAGGCTCAGGGCATGCATGGGCTGGTGTGAGGGTCTGGAGGCAAGAGCTATTGTGTCATCTTGCCCTAGGTGGCCTGATCCTGGGCTTCAGAGGATCAAGGGTGACCATCAGGACTTTGCTGACCAATGGAGTGGCTCCTTGCATGGACTGAGCTGGTTAAGTCCTTGCTGAAAGAGTCAAAATAAAGCCCTGTTGAGAAACTCCAGTACGTTTCTGCCATCTCAGCCTCTCCTCTGCAATGGTGCAGAGGGCAGAGATATTTACCAGTCTCAACAGAATCTGTCAGCTGTCTATCTAAACTTCACAGTTGACTGTGTTGGCTTAGGGCTAGGATTTGGTGTGTCACATTTCTTGTCCCACTAATGAAACCACTATCGTGGGAGATGTCTGCCTTGGTGTCCACAGTTCGAATCCAGGGGATGCTACCCTGCCTAAGGGTGCTGTGGTAAACAGGAACCCGCCCTACCATTTCCCACACAGGTTACATACTCAGCCCAATGCTGAGGAGATTGTCTCTGGAAAATGCAGTTCTTGCTCTCAACTTTTCTAAGATTATGTGGTCAGGTGAAGCCAGCATGAAACATGTTTTTGTATGCCTTCAACATACAGAAACAGGCCCTCAGCATCCAGAGCTCTGAGGTGGCAAACGGACCCATGTGGCCCTGCATTCTGCAGTCCTGCCATCAGGCCTGCCTCGCCCCTGACTGCCTGGCAGTGAGCTCTCAGCTCCTCTTGTGCCTGAAACAGTAGCTATCCAGACTGCAGGGACCAGAATGGCCCCCGCCTGTGTGCTGACCCTGTCTCGGATCACTCTTGCTACCTGTCCTCAGCCCAGCCACACAACTCCTAGCACAGGAGAGGTTAACCTGCTCTGAGTAGACATCTGCGCTAAATAACCAAGAAAGGCTGATCCTACCCAGAAAGCAGTAGCTCTGTGGCACAGGGAGGTTTCTTCCAACAGTTGTGTCAGTTCAGAAGTCAGACAAAATCAACAAAAAAGGAAAGACTAGGACAGAGATAGCAAAGACAAGATTGGAAAGCTGTCCTTCCCTATCTCTAGTGCCTGCAAAGATGTTTGTGAGTCAGTTCTTTCTCAGAATCCTGTTCCCTGTGGCCCTTTGTGATAATGAGGATTAAGGACTTTACAGATAAGCTCAAAAATATCAAGACGAGCTCCAAAAATGAAAATCTTCATTCCCCTTCTTCTTTACTCATCTCTTTCTAGCCAGTAAGTTTTGCTGACACCTAAGCTCCTTCAAATCATGTTTCCATCTACATTAAAATCTAGCAGATGGCCTTTGATGAATTCCAGAAATTCATTCGAACAGCAAATACCTATTAATTTCCTTTCTCTTAAGTTTGTTTCAAGCCCTGTAATGCAGATGCAAATTAGCCAGGACCACAGACCTCACAGAACTTAGTGCTGACCGGCGGCAGTGTTTTCTGGAGACACCACATGTTCCAGAATGGAAGAGTGGCAGCCAACAGGTGTCCCTTCTGAGGCTGTATGGCTGAAACCACCACTTGGTCCACACACACCCACACAGGTTCACAGGGATGATGACAGGATTAAATGTTTAACTGCTCTCTCAGGGAAGGCCTTTTGCAATGTATTACTTCTTGGATTTGTTTCTGAAGCATTTCTTAATAGCAAAGGACTTCACCAAAAGTTTAAGCAGACTCACAGAGTTTGACAGTCAAAGGCCATTCTGATAAGAAGCACAGGGTGAAGTATGGGGGGATTTCCTGTGCTCTTTTGTTTTGATGGCTTTGTTCACCTTGTTTAAAGAATCACGTGGTTATTTATTCTGTAGGATTTGTATCAAAAAGAAAACTTTGTCAGCTGAGCCTTAACCTATCTGTTTCATTGGGTCATTTGACTGTGGTAACTGTGTTTTTATAGTTTAATAACTGCCATTCTAACTGAAAACATAGGTGGCGCTGGCACGTGAGACACTGGTCTTGTGTTGGTGGAGTTCTCCAGAGCCCAACTGCTGTCAGAAAAAAGCAGCCAGAAAGACAGGGAGAGGAGCAGCCTTCTTTTCTTCCCTCATGTTGTACAGAACACCTTACCACCCCATCACCACGCTGAGGGTAGCACTCACAAAATCTCAATGCCCTCCTCTTGCACACTGTGGGTATATTTACAGAGTAAGGAATCTAGCTTCCTGCTGAGTCTCTCAGTTAAACTTCTAAACTTGGCAAGTTGACACAATGTATCAACCACCACAGGGACCTATTGATGCCTATAATGTTAGAGTTGGCTAGGAGGAGCAATTTCAGGTGTTGTAACTTACTGTGTGTCCCATAGTACTTAGAAGACAGGCTTTTCAACACTCAAACACTAGACTCCCAAAGTTAACAAAGTCAAACAGCAGAACCAAAGCCTGATGGAAGGAACAGGGAACTAGATCTTTTGCAAATAGGAGGGGACCAAGAGATGGGAAAGGAGAGAGAGAAAGTAGACATAAAAAATTATAAGATGTGTGTCATGTACATGTATGAAAGAGTTGCTGGCCCAGACCAGACACTGTAACCAGGAAAAGCCTCAGCCAAGTTAGGGGGCTCCTGCCTCCCCCGCCCCCATAGATTTGCCTGTAACCCTATACCCCCATCCCTAAGAACCTGTTTCTGGCGCCAAATGTGTGCCAATGAAGTACCTGTGCATCCCTAATGCCCCTTGGGGTCCACCCCAGACAGAGGCTACTTATGGGCCTCACTCCACGTGAAGAGAAGAAGAAGAAGGAGAAAGGGAGAGTGTGTTCCAGAGAGAGACCACTGGCCCCGGGGTGGAGATGCTGCGCCCCGGGGGCCGGGGGGGGGTCTCTCCCCGCATTCCCAAAATAAAGGTTACTTATATTTTATATTTTTTATCTTTGCAGCCACTGCGGCCCACTACTTTCACGGCAGTCCACTCCACTCCTTCCACGGACCTCTTCCCCTCTTTCCCTCCTCTTTCCCTTCCTTCTCCCATCCTCCTTCTTCTCAAACCTAACAATGTACACAATGAATTCACCATTATGTGTCCCAAACATAGGCCGACAAAAAGAAAAAGAAAAAAGATATTGTGGTGGTTGAGAGGACCTACAGAGGGAGGGAGGAGAATGAGAGAGGGAAAGGGAATAAAAAGAATCAAGATATATTAAGTATACATGCTTACTTCCTAAGACGAATGTAAACATCATGTATGGCAAACATGATACAAATTCAATGTAATGGATTCACTAATTATTCCCGTACCACTCCATGACTCATACATCGTTTTGTATGTCAAAAATCTAGCTTTGTGTCAGTCAAAAGTGAATTAATACTAAAAACACAGAGAAAGCAGCATGCTAGACGGACGGATTTAGATACACAAATAACCCATCATTTTAGCTGTATGAATTCAACTGGATGACTAAACATGACAGCGAAAGCCTCATCTAAGGGTTATGAGGATCAGAACCATCTGGGTGTTAGCGAGCGTGTCCTGGAGCGGTGGTGTGCACGCTTGTCCTTGGTGGGGCTGGTGTGTGCCCTTGTCCTTGGTGTCTGTGTGTGCACGCGCTTGTTTTTGGTGGGTGGGTGTGCGCGCGCATGTGCTTGCAGTGTGTGTGTGTGTGTGTGCGCGCGTGCGGGTGGGCGTCCTTGGTGTGTGTGCATGGATGGGTACTGCACAAAGGAAGAGCCAGGCAGACGAAAAGAGACAGAGCAGCTGAGAATCAACCACATCACGCGCCATGAGAGCTGCGTCCCGGCCAGTCCGCACTCTGCGGCGCATGGCTGCGTGTCCGCGGGCGGAACAGGCCCGGGGGCACCCGGGGCCACACCGCCGGCCGGCGTGTGGGCTCGCGGCAGAACTTTTCCTGTGGCCGTCCGGAGGCGGAGCCATGGCCTTGCGTGAGTGGCCGCGCAGCCCGCGGTGCGCCGAGTTCGAGCGATCATTGGTCGCAAAGCCGCCCGGAATTCAGCGCGACGCCTTCGTGTTCTCCCGGGAGGCCCAGCTCCAGCGCGGGGCCGCGACCGCCACGCGGCGAGCCGGGCACGTGCTGCCCCCTGCAGGCCGAGCCGCGCCGGCCGCGTCCCGGGCGCAGTTCCGCCGCCCTCCGTCGCGCGGCGCTGCAGGAGGAGCGCCCCTGGCCCCGCGCAGGGGAGCAGACGCGGGGACGTGAAGGGAGGGGCGCGCGGGTGCGGGCGGAGGAGAGCGAGGGCGGGCCCGCGGACGCTCTCTGCCTCCTTCGCCCGGCTGTCCCCCGAGTGCTTCCCGGAGCCTGGCCCTCTGTGTGGGACGGCTGCCCCGATGCGGCTGCGAAACTGACGGATGGCAGATCCGCAGGGAGCTTCTAAAAGGCTCACCAGTGCCCGGATCGCATCCCCAGAACTCGTCTGTACGGGATGGGTCGGGCTGGGTCGCCTCTGGAAGCGCTCTCAGCGGACCGCTGGTGTGTTACTCACAGAGGGCGCCGAGGGGAGGTGCTGTTTGCCGGGGACGCTGTCCCGCAAGCTCGGGGACCAGGCTTGGTCCTTGGAAGCTGGAGGGAGGGCTGAGGCGCCCTGCTGAGCGCTGGTCGCGCCCCAGGAACCTGCACGCCGGACTCTCATCGGCTGCCTGCACCCACGGGGGACCTGCAGGTCCGCCTTCCCGCCACAGGCCCCACGGCCTCCCCCTGAAAAGTGCATGCCTGGGCCCCACTCCACAATTTGAACTTTTTTCTTTGGTTGTTTATTGGTGACATTTGGGTGAGGTAAGGACCTTCACTTTTTGGACCCACTGTGGGTCATTTGGGTCCTGTGAGGAGTAGGTCATCAGTGCCGTGGTGAGGCAAGGCGACTTGGCCCTTTTTGGCCACATGTACTGGTTGCTGGTCATTTTGGGTGGCAGTGATTGGTGTGAGAAGAGGTTCACAGGTATAAAGAGTTTCTAAGCATTTGTTTTGGTTTGGTTTGGTTTATTTGCTTTCATCGCCTTTGTTCTAGATAGATTCAAGGGGCTGGGGATTTCGCTCAGTGGCATAAGGGCCTGCCTTGCAAGAACGCAGTCGTGAGTTCGATCCCTGGTACCGATAAAAAGGAAAAAGACAAAAAAAAAAAAAAAAAAATAGATGGATCTAGGGGGTTTCCGTACCTTCCAGAATTATGTAAGCCAGCTGGGGCTTAACTGTGTTCTGAGGCTTCTTTGTGAGCCAATGTAGAATTCAAGGTTCTCAATCTGTTTGTTAGGAAAAAAGTTGGGATTAGACATTTTAAGAGTGTGGAGTTACTGATGGTGTGTTTGAGGAATTGTAGTTTGCTCAGGAGTAAAATTGCTTTTGCTGCTTGGCAGCTCTCTAGAACCGTTTTTAGTTACCTGTGACTCTGAAAGAGGTGATTTTATTAGGGTATATATCATGCTCTGTGTAACTGAAAGCACACTCTTATTTCATGGATCTTTCCTTAAGAAGACTTTTTGGAATAACTTTGGGTGAGATAATTTCCTCAACTGCTTTCCTTGACCCTTTCTAGATCAGTGACAAGTATAAGCAAGAGCCTTCTGTACCTGCTCTCCATGCAGCTACTTGACTAAAGTCAGACACTTTGTTGGGACTGAAATTTTCCCTCATTTTGGCTAGTTGTATCTGAATCATTCTAAACGCGTTTTGTTTCAAAATATTTGTTAAAACTTGTTTGTTGAAAATTTATTTTTGTTGTCTGCCCCCTCGAACTCCGCTGGGCCATGCAGCAGGAGCAGAGCCTTGCTTTGGTCCTACCTGCACACCTTAAGCTACTGGAATAGTGATTTTAGTCAGCTTTTAATCATTTGCTCTTGAATAAAATTCTCTATTTCCCTGGGTTCCATGGGGTGTAAGGACATGCAAGGTCCCCATGTGACAGTGAGTGTTAATTATCACAAAGGACAGCAAATATCTTATAACCATCTAATGAATCATCTCTGCTACAATTAAGTAAAAATAGGCAAAAGGTTCAGTGATCTTTATGCACAGCTCATTAGCTGTGAGACAGCCGGCATCTTCCTGGCCTCTCTGAACCTTTCCGTGACGTTCTGAGCTACTTCACGAGATGACACGCCCAGGGAGCCTCACCTTAGCGTTTCCTTGTCCGAACTTGGGGGAGCATGGTCTCCTCAGCAACTTGTTCCCGGGATACTCACTCCACAGCCTTCAGGGCTGCGCAGACAACATGCAAGAGGCAGAGGACAGGAACAAAGGATAGGATTTACTGAACAGCCAGGAGCTGCGTGCCGCCCATCTCCTTTCCCTGCATGAAATGCGATTTAAATGCACTTGAAACAATTTTCTGGACAAATAAAACTTGCCATTGAGCCCAGAGAAGGCAAAGGGCTTGCTCAGTGTGATTCAGGCCACCCCGAACTCAGCTGGGGAAACAAAAGTGCAGCGCTAGGAAACCCAAGGCCAGAGTGTTGGTTCACCTTCACTGCACACCGAGCAGGCTTTGTGCCACCCAAGGCCTGCGCACGAACGCAACGCGCACCTGTTGTGGGCCTGTGCTCGAGCTATTTCAGGCACTGGGAGCACTTGCACCCTTGTTGGAGGATTGCCCACTCAGGACTGTGGTCAGTAGCAGAAGCTCTTGGATTGTACCAGCCTGGAGAGGCATCCCCTAAGTGGAAAAAAAAGCCGCGAGGTGGGCCTCTTGGCATGTTGGTAAAGGACACATTGTAAGATATGAAATGCTGTAACCACTTTGGAAGCCTTGGGCGCCTCTGAAACTCGGCACACATATTCCAAATGACCTGTACCATTTCAGTCTGTCCAGAGCCATGCCCGCGTCTGTGACAGCGGGGACCTTAAATCTTCCAAAGGCCTGACTTGGTCCCCAAGTTGATGCTACTGAGTAGTGACAGAACTTTTAGGAGTTGGGACCATTTTAGGTCGATAAGCTCTGATGGAGAGCTAAGCTCAAAGGGGAGTAGGGGACTCATGCTTCTTACTCGCTCTCCTTTTGTTCCCTGCAGCGAAATGATGGACTTTGGTTTTCTACACACTCCTGCCATCGTGTGCTGCCTCATCTCAGCCCAGAGCAAGAGGGCTGATCAATCACAGACAGAAACTTCTGAAAGTACAAACCAGAGCAAAGCTTTTCTCTTTATGAATTTATTCACTCGGGTTTATTGTATAACGGGATAGCACAATATCCACTTGGCTACACTTTTTTTATTTTTACTTTTATTTTTTTGAGAAACAGTCTTGCTGTATAGTTCAGACTCACCAGGCCCCAGGTTGGCCTCGAATTCACAGTGATCCGCCTGCCTCAGCCATCTGAGTGCTAGGATAACGAGCCTGGGTGACCACACAGTCCTGCCCCTGGTGCAGAGACAGTGTCTAGTACCTCATAAGCTGAGCTCTGCAGAGAGCAGATGACTGAACCACGTTCAAGCAGCCTGGAAAGAGAGCAGCCTATCCTCCCAAGACATCTCTGGAGAAAAAAGGTGTCACTTTTCTGACAATGAAGCCCAGTCCCAGTCATTTTTACCTGTCAGCAAGGTCTGTCCTCACAGCCTGGTCCTCTGTGGAGCCTTTCAGTCTTCACTGGACCCTCTTGACACAGTTGCTGCCTCTCGGGATTCAGAACATTGCTTTCCTCTTCTGCTCCTTGTCAGAGCTCTTTGTCTTGAGCTTCATTTGTGAAGTCCAACATTCACCCAAATATTCTCCCTCAAAATAATGATCATGTAAGAAAAACTGCACTTACAAGTGCCTCCCTTAAAAAGAGCAGTTTTTATGTCACCTCAGCTTTTTATTAATCTCTTTTCTATGGGTAGCACATGTACTTTCCTAGTGGTCTTTTAAAAATGCTTGAATCATCTCAAAAAGTCTCTGGGTTCAAATGTGGAGGAAGTTTGAAAGATGAAGAAAGCTGGATGCGGAGGTGCTGTAATCCCAGCACTTTGGGAGGTGAAAGCGAAGATTGTGAGTTCAAAGCCACTCTAGGTTACATAGGAATAACTCTCCAGAAACAAAACCAAACCTGTGGACCTCAGAAAAGCTTCTCAACAGTTTGGCCCCTCTGCCCACAGCAGTCACAGGGAAGTCCAGTGGCCCTCTAGTGTTGGACTAATAATTGTCCAACTTTGGGGGAGGTTGTTAGAAATAAGTGTGAGTTTGGGGTATGTATCTTTTCAGAGGGCAGAGGGGAAGAGTACACAGGACTGAGGATCTTTCCAGGCACTTTCCCGGGCTATGATAGAACTCAGTCTACCTTACAGTGTGGTTAGAAAAGGCAGTCCGGAGCCAGGAGCACTCTTGGGGTGCTAACATGGGGTGCAGCAGGTCACAAGAATCCTTGGTGCAGCGGGTACTCTTAATCCTTGTGTGTATGCTGTAAAATGCATACGCAGATATCAGCTGCAGTACGTAGCCAGAGATACACAGAAGTCCAGTTGAGCAAAAAGAAACTGTCAAGTCCTGAAATGAGTTCACCAATTTTCTCGAGTTTAATGGTAACAGGGACAGAGAGAAGTAAACGTTTTATCTTAGTGAGTAAGAGCAAGACAAAATGTGAATGTAACTCTGTAATTCACAGTACAGTACTTGCCTAACATTATGAACATTCATACTTATAAAATCTTTAAGTGATAAGGAAACAAGATCTTAGGAAACAGATTTGCAAAGATAAAAAGATAGTCATGTGGAGATGGTTAAAGTGGGGATGGAAATAAAAGCACTCTAAGGCTCATAATCTTTTTCAGAAAAAGCAAACAGAGGTTAGTTTTGGGAGTTGATAAACAAATTAGACATGGCACTTAAAATTTAAGAAACTGGACATGGTGGCACAGGCCTGTAGTCAGCACTCTGGAAGCTAAGGCAAGAGGATCACCATGAATTCTAAGCCAGCCTGGGCTACATAACAAGGTTAACACCAGCCTGATCTACATAGTGATATTCTGTCTCAAAAAAGAAAATTTAAAATTAGCCATTGAAGAATTAAGATCTATAATTCCTAACAACTAGATACAAACTGTGGAGTCAGCATCTGATAGAAGTGATGAGGATGATGAAGGCGATAAAAGAACGCAAGCAAGTGGAGAATGTGAAATCAACTAGGTGGAGACATCAGAAAAAACATGACTGAGTCAAAGCCTCTGTGGTGGGCTAATACAGAAACTAATTGACAGCCATAGACAATTTACAAGATTCATCCCTAGGCAAATTCTTAAAAAAAGAAAAAACCAAGAAATTCTGGGAAACCTCTTTTCTGTACACTTTCACACAACACTTCTGACATCAGATATATGGGGTTTTTCATACCACATAGTTCTCTGACTCTCTAAAACCGTTAGAGATGTCTTATAATTTAATTCAGTCCTGACACATTTAACTGGAATCAGTGTCAGCTAACTCCTATGCTGACTTCAGGTGCCAGTTCCAATCCCAGGCCTCTGGTATTTCTAACTCACCAGCTGTGACCCAAGCATGCCCAGGACCTTCTCCAGGGCTTTGGTAACCCAGCAGGAGTGGCTCAGAGAATTCAGTACACACTTCACGCACATTTGCTGGTTTATTCTTAAGGCCACAGCTCAGGAACAGCCAAATGAAAGCAGTAGGCACAAGGCAAGGTCCAGAGGCAGGCAGAGCTCCTCCGCCCTCCCTGGCTGCACCTGTAGCACCCCCATGTGTTTGGGAACCCAAAAGCTCCTCGAGTCTTAGTGCTCAAGGGTTTGTGCAGAATTTCCTGTGTGGCCCACTCGCAGAGACCAGCTCTCAGTCATCTGTTCTCTTCTGGGTGACTGCTCCATCCCAAAGGTATTTGGTACCCCATCCTTAGTAACTTCATTCATATAAACTCACATGTGAATCAAAAACATTGCTGTTATAAGAGTCCAAGGAGTGCAAAATTTGTGTACCAAAAACTGGCATTGAAGACTAAATATATTTCTTGGTCACACATATGATAACTATGGAAAGAAGGTCAAATGTACTATATTTAAATGTGTTAAGTGGATATGGATTTTGAGGCTAAAACTTTACATGTGACAAAGAAGAACATTTCACATTAATAAAAGTTCAAATCATTCTAAAGTGATGACCATTTCAAAATTCCGTACATTTAACTCATAGCTTCAGAGTTTATCAAGGAAAAAGAAATATAAGGAGAAATTTAAAAGTACATGATCATTAATAGATGTGTTAACCTATTTCTGAGAAATCCATAAACTAAGTAAGTTAAAATACATAAAAAGCAGTGTGGACATAGACACACATGGCCATATTTATAAAAATGCACAGGCCAAAAAATACGCACAGGTGTAAGGATATGCATTTTAGCTAATCGTATGTGTTTCCTTGCTCTTAGCACTGAGGAGGCCTGGGGGCAAAGACATCTTAAAACACTGGCCACACATAGTGCCAGGTCTTGGTTTTTAATCCCATTCTGCAGTGAGATGAACCAATACTACTGGAAGAAATGGCCAGTTTTAGAAGTGGGTCAGGAAATATGTAAGATAAACCTGGATCATCTTGTAGCACCAGAAAGTAAACTGTGCTGAAATAAACAAATCAGAATAAGGAAGAAAACAAGAGTCTACAAGGGTAGAGGTATGTAAAAGAGACACACAAGCCAATCAGCAGAGTTGCTCAGGGCTAAATCTTGAAAAACTTGAACAATAAAGAAAGCAATAACGAATCATAATCATATATATAAAGTAAATATCTGTGAGTTCGTACTGAGGTAAATAAGAGACTGAATAAATAAATGGAGAAGAGAAAATTCTCGCATGTAGAATTCCAAATGGTTTATGAGCTCTTCCTTCTCCTGAAGGCAGACAACTCCCCACTCCTCAGGTGCCAGCCACAGGCAGCAGAGGGAGGATGAAGAGGACCTTTATATTTGAACACAATACTTCTGAGAATGGGACCTCAGCCAGTTGGTCAAAGTGCATCACCAGGAGTGGTGCACACCTGTATCCCAGCACTCAGGAGACTAAAGCAGGAGGATCATCATGAGCTCAAGGCCAGCTTGGGGTATATAGTGAATTCAAGGCCAGCCTGAATTATGTAGTGAGACTCTGTCTCAAAAAACAAAGTCTGCATCAATGATTATAATATTGATAATATACACTCTTAATAGGATAGGATAGAGTGGAACTTAACATCTGTGGTGTTCTTCCCCAGAACCAGGAACTCGAGGCTAATCAGAAGTAAAACATTAGACAAATCCTAGTTGAAGATCAAGAATACTTGACCAGTACTTCTCAAACAGGTAAGACTCTCAAAAACAAGGCAAGTGTGAGAAACTCTCAGAATCAAGAGGACCAGAAGGAGATATCACAAGTAAATACAACATGGTATTTTGGTTGGGACCCTAAATCAGAAAAGGGACATTTCGATTAAAACACATGAGTAACCTGTGAGCTTTATTTAATAAAAATGTATCATTATTGATTATTTAACAAATGTATTTCATTAACATAACTTGATAATATTGGGGAAAATGAATGCAGAGTATGTAACTCTGTATAATATCTTTTTTTCTCTCTTTGGTACTGATAATTGAACACCGGTCCTATGGACTGAGCTACATCAGCAGCCTGCAGCCCTCTCTTTTTTTTTTTTTTTTTTTTTTTTTTTTTGGTGTGAGGAATCGAACTCATGACCTTACACTTGCCAGACAGATACTTGTGCCACTGAGCTATATCTCCACCACCCAGCCCTATCTTAAACTAAATTTTGAGACATTTCGCTAAGTCAGTAATTTACCCAGAGTCACCCAAATTTGCAGTTTTCCTGCCTCAGCCTCCCAGAGTGCTGGGATTACATTGCCACTGCCACTCCTGGCTTGCAGTTTTTTTCTTTAAAACTCCTTTAAAAATAAAATTATTGGGCTGGGGATTTAGCTCAGTGGCATAAGTGCCAGCCTGCCAAGTGCTAGGTCATGAGTTCAATCCCTGGTACCAAAAAAAAAATTATTTTAAAAATAAGAAATAACAAACACATAAGTATGTAGAACAAAAATTTCATAATACAATTAATAATCTCAGTCTAGAATTTCCACTTCTAGTAGCATGGCAGACTAATACCCTAAGCAACCAGCTTACTGAAAACACCTTTAAATGCTGGGTAAAATCTTTACAAACATCTTTATTAAATTCAGTAAGCTAACAAGATAATAAGGAACAGTCTGAGGCCCAATAAATAAATAAGCAAAAGCATTCACCTAAAAAAAGTAAGTTGACTATCAACCAGCTTTTGCCCCAAAGACATTTCCTAAACTTTGACAAATGCAAATTTTGTTTTTCAGAATTTAATGGATTACTGAGAAAGGATACAAAGGCTGGGGTCTTCTGACAGTGGAAAATATAATTTAAAAAGCAAAAACAAAAACAAAATCTCCTTCCTTCATAAGACTGGGACTACTGAAAGATTGTACCCCCAATATAAAAGTAAATTAAAAGTAAAAATCAATCCCCCTTTTTGCATTGAAAGAAAATTTCTCTGTCTGAAACTATAAAAATGGAAATGGTTTCCAATGCAGTATAAATTTACCTATTTAGGTTGGCCATTAAATCTGAAGTCAAAAATGTGTTTTATTGTTGTCTCTTTTTTAATTAAAAAAATAAAAACAACAATAAAACAGTTTCAAAACAGGCTAGTAGGACAGCAAAAATAATTAATACACTGCATATTGTTATCCTTTAGAGCACTTTCTTGTCCTCTCTTTTTTTACAGTAGCAATTACACATTTTAGGCTTTATTACTCGACAGTTTTATTACTTTTTACACTAGAGATGCAATGATATTTATAAATATGATTCTTGAAAGCCTCAAGATCATCTTTTTTATATCTGAGTAATATTCTATTGTACAAAAATGTCACATCTTTTTTAAAATAAAGAGAAAAAAACAAAAAGAGTACAAGTAATACAGAATTTCAAAAAACAGTAAGAAATCACTAGTTAATAAATTACATATTGTCTTCTTAGAAATAGTTGTTCAAGTTACAAAATTAAAGCATACAAAGTGGACATTCAAACAATGAGACTGTTCAATAATCCAACAAAAACTCAGTAATATGGTTATCTATCTTACACACTTAAATATACATGCAGTTATATCCTTTAGAGCACTTTCTTTTCCTCTCTCTTTCTTTTTTTTTAATATCACATCTTTTTCATCCACTCTGCAATTGATGGGCATTTTGGTTATTTCCAAGATTTAGCTATTACAAATTATGGTGCTAAGATTTTTCTATTACTTGCTAATTGTGCTGCTATGAACATGGGTGCACATATATTGCTGTGGTATGATGTTTTTAGTTCTTCTGGGAAGATACCCACAAAGGGCTGAATAAGACCTCTAATCCTAGTTTGTGAGGAATCTCTACACTGATTTCCAGTGGTTGCACCAGTCTGTGCTCCCACCAGCAGTGCAGAAAGGCTCCTTTTTCCTCACCACCCCACCAGTATTTGTTATTGGTTGATTTCTTGATGATAGCCATTCTTTCTGGGGTAGGATGGAAACTGAGTGTTGTTTTAATTTGCATCTCTTGAATAACCAGTGATACTGAACATTTTTTCATGTATTTATTTGCTGTTTATATTTACTCACCTGGGAAGTATGTATTGATCCCAGATGTCCATTTTTGGGTTGAATCTCTAAATTTGGGAGGTCTGAGGGTTTTGTTAGTTCTTTATATGTTCTTGATAGTAATCCTGTCTGGGGAACAGATGGCAAACATTTATTCCCATGTAGTGAGTTGTCTCTTCACTCTCTTGATGGTTTCTCTTGCTGTGAAAAGATTTTTAATTAGGTAATATTCCATTTGTTGATTTTTTGTAATATTTCCTGTGTGGTCTGGGTTTTGGTCATGAAGTCTCTACCTATATCTACATCTTCAAGATTTCTAGCTATTTTCTTTTTCAGTAAATTTAGTGTTTCTGTTTTAATATTTAGATCTTTGATCCATTACTTTTTACACCATTTTTACTTTAGTTTAGTGCATGATGATAGATATGGGTCTACTTTTAGTCTTCAGCATGTGGAAAGCCAGTTTTTCCAGAACCATTTATTAAAGAGGCTAACTTCCGGGGCTGGGGATTTAGCTCAGCGGCATAAGCACCTGCCTTGCAAGCAGGCAGTTGTGAGTTCAATACCCGGTACCAATGAAAATGAAAAAGACAAAAAAAAAAAAAGAGGCTAACTTCCTTCAGGTGAACATGTTTGACTCCTTTATCAAAGATCAGGTGGCTAAATATGTTTGGGGTTGTGTCTGCATCTTCTATTCTGTTCCACGATTTTTAGGTCTGTTTGTTTTTTGTTTTGTTTTGCCAGTACCATGCTGATTTGATCACAGTAACTTTGTAGTATAATCTCAGGTCAGAGATTGTGATGCTTCCTGACTTGTTTTTGGTGCCCAGAACTACTTTTGCTATTATTCTAGGCCTCTTCTAGTTCCAAATGAATTTTAGGAGTGTTTTCTATAGTTTTATGAGGTATGATAATGATATTTTGAATAAAATTGCATTAAATATGTATAACAGTTTTGGGAGTAAGGCCCAAAACTGTTATACATATGTTGGTTCTTCCTATTCATGAGCAAGGGATACCCTTCCATTTTCAGCTATTCACTTCAAGCTCTTTTTTCAGGTTACTGAAATTTTCAGTGTTTACATCTTTTACTTTGTTAGACTGATTCCTAAGTATTTCAGTTTTTTAGATGCTATTGTAAGGGTGTGGTTTCTCTAATTTCCCTCTATGTGAGTTTGTTGATTTTGTACAGGAATGCTATTGATTTTTAAGTGTTGACTTCATATCCAGCTATACTGCTGAATTTGGTTATTAAGTTTACAAGTCTTTTGGTGGAGCTTTTGGGGTTTGCTATAGAGTATCATATCATCTGCAAATAATGACAATTTAACCTCTTCCTTTCCCATCTTTATTCCTTTTATTTCTTTCTCTTATCTAATTGCTCTGGTTAATGTTTCCAGAACTACATCGAATAAGAGTGGTGATAATGGACATCCTTTTCTTGTTCCTGATTTTAGAGTGAAAGTTTTCAGTTTTTCACCATTTAGCAATGTTAGCTATTTGTTTGTCATAGAAGGCTTTTATCAAATTGGGGTAATAACTATTCCAATTTTCTGCAGGGTTTTTATCATGAATGAGTGTCAAACTTTGTCAAATGCTTTTTTGGTATCTATTGAAGTGATCATGTGATTTTTGTCTTTGGTTTGGTTAATGTGATGTGTTACATCCGTTGATTTATGTATGCTGAGCCATTCTTACAATCCTAGGATGAACCCTACTTGGTCATGGTGTATAATCTTTTTGAAGATTTGCTGCATTCTGCTTTGTTAAGTGTCTCTTTTTTATTTTCAAGAGAATAAAACCAAATGAAATAAAACAGAATAGAGTCAAAACAAAATAGTGAACTTGGTACAGGACTTCAAAACAAGATAAAAGGAAATTAATAATGGCTACCATAATGCCTCTTATCTTCAAAATAACTGCTCATATCATCAGGCATAATAGAATCAAACAAAACAGAACAGAATAAAATCAATGAAAGTAATACAGTGCTTCAAAACAAGACAACAGGAAATCAATAATGACTACCATAATATATTTTGTTATCTGTGAAATAGCTGTCCATGCCATCAAATATAATAAAATCAAACAAAACAGAATAAAACCAAACTAAACAGAACAATGAAAACAATATGGGTTTCAAAAGACAATAATAAATTAACAATGGCCACTGTCTTCCCTCTTTAGACATTCACATTCCCCTTTCACTTTCACAATATCTATTATGCATTTTGTATCCCACTAACTCCTTTAGTTTTTCATAAGGGAGACAACACAATGTTCACCCATGTGACTGAACCATTTCATCCACAAGCATGATCTCAAGTTGTATCCATTAACCTACAAGAGCCTCGAGGTTATCTTTCTTTATAGCTGGGTAGCCTTCCATTGTATAAAAACGCCATGTCTTTCTTATCCATTCTGCAGTTGATGGGCAAGTGGCCCCTACTTTTTTCTGGTTCCCCACTTTTTGACTTTCAGTCTATGAACTTACTTTTGTGTTAAATGTTTCTTGTATAAAACATGTACATGGATCCTGTCTTCTGGGCCACGCTGCCTATGTTTCTTTTTATTGGTGAATTGAGATCATTTCATTTATGGTTATGGCCATTCATTGGCTTATCTCTGACATGCATCTTTCCTGCCATTGACTCCTTACTTTTCCCCTCCACTCAG